GGATTTCACAATTTTTTTGAAATTCGCAAAAATTACTTCCGTGAAAATCAAATTAATACGGTATAAGATGGCAAACGGCATAAATTTGTGAAAATTAAATCCGCAAAATCTATAGCCCTCAAAAAAGGCGCCCTACGGTACATACTGATCTTTTAACAGCTTCAATATCATCTTGTTTCTTGGTTACTTCCAGCAGTTTCTTTACATCATCATCATATTTTCTTTCTAGTTGCTCTTTTTTACTCAAACAAACTTTAAACTCTGCCTGATGCTTATGAAGCCAAGTAGAAATCCTATTATTATTTCAGTTAAAATAGATTATGCTAAAAAGCATCTATACCTTGTTAATTCTTGTTCTTGCTTTTGTAATTGAGATTTAAAATCATCTTCTTGTTCTTTAAGCTCAGCTCTTGATTGCTCAATGTCTCTAGTAAGTGCTTCAATTTGACACTTCTCTGTCTCCATAAACTCTTTGTCTTATTTTTCGATTCGCCCCAGTAATGGCCAATTATCAGCTGTAAATACAGGAGGTGTGTCACAGAAAAGGTGTGCCAGGCTGTTATTATAAAAGCAAATTAAAATTGCAGTAGTACTAGTATCAAAAAGATGTATATGTACATGTACATTTGCATTCTAGCAATATTACAGGTCTACATTTATCATCACACTAAATTTATTCATTTCCATTAATGTGTTGTTTAAGGATGAATGGGATTTTGCTTTCTAATACGATCAACTTCAAGCAAGGCTTGGTCCGTCTCTTCATTAACTCTCCAGTACTCCTCACTATCTTCCCTCCTGTACTGGTTGTATGGTTGCTGGCGGTTCTTGAAACGCCTTTTCATTTCCTCTTCGCTAACTTGAGGTCGAACAGAATCAGGTATACTGGTAGTATATGCTGGTGACACTCTTGGTTTGAAACGGCTTTTCATTTCCTCCTCACTGAGTTGAGGTTGAACAGATTTAGGTATGCTACTGGTATATGCTGGTGAGACTCTTGGTCTTTCATATTCTTCTCTTCTCATTTGACCTCCTCCAAATCTTCTATACATTTCTTCTCTACTGAGATGTGGTCGTATGTGAGAAGGAATGCTGGTGGTATAATCATGATTTCGGCTGATAACATCTTCTTTTACTATTCTTGGCTTATTTCTTCTTTCGCTGATGTGAGGAGAGGGTGATGGGGTCGGATTAAAAGGGAAATATGAAGAATCACTGACTGATTGATGGGCAAATGGAGGAGGAGAAAAAGAATCGGAATTAGACGGAAAGGAATCGTAATGATGAGATGAAGAATAAGAATAGCTTCTCCTTGAGCGGGTTTGTATCTAATCATAAACTGTAAAGTTAATATAATCATTGTATGTACTTCTTACATTATTAGCTTCTTTCATTAGTTCAATTTGTTCCTCTAGTCTATCAGCTCTTGTTTTTTCCTTCAGAAGACTTTCTTTCTATAATATAGACAGGATGAAAGTAGATAAAATGTACATTTCAATTTTTACTTCATTTGAAAACTTTATTTGTAACTCTT